CCCATAGCTGTACAGTTGTGGATCACTCTGCCTGGAAAAAAAAAATCTTTGGATCCCTTTACCAGCCAGCAGCACCCCCCCGCCCCCCCCGCCGGTAGAAATCTGTATTTATATCTATACATATTTTTCTTCTCCCCGTGAACTCTAAGCTCCATGAGAGTAGAGATAACTGCTATCTTGTTTGTGGTTGGTCAGGACCTAGTAAGTGTTCAGTAAATATTTGTTAACAAATGAAGATTTGTTCATACAGACACATATGTTCTGGCTAATTAAAAATGCCTCTAAACAAAGCAATACACTGTGAGTACTTCATGAAAATCTAGAAAACTGTTTAGTTCTTCCCTGTTCACATCCTCCTGGTTTACATATTTCCTAATAGGTAAGAAAATGAGCTGGTTTCAAAGAATGATTCAGTACTAAATAGGGGGCTGGCTGGTTAGCTCAGTTGGTTAGAGCATGGTGTTGTAACACCAAGGTCATGGGTTCAGATCCACATACCTGCCAGCTGCCAAAAAAAAAAAAGAGACTAGGGACTACATGAAAATTCAATGATCAAATTTATAAATTAGTTTTATCAGTAACAAACCCTATTAGCTTTTAAATAATATTTGAACACAAATATTTTATCCAACTGATCTGTCAATAGACACTTTCATTATTTTTCCAGGGAGGATCTGAGGTGGCTTATAAGAATACATGAAATAAAATTCAGAAAGGTAAATCAAAAGCTTCAAATTTCTCATTTATGAAATAAAGATACTATCACCATTTTGTAAAACTATTTATTCTCTAAAAGATAAAACAAGACAATTATTTTACGAATCAGAGGAGGTACTTAATAACTGGAAGTTCCCCCCACCCTCCATTCCCTCTTACCCTAGACTATGCTCAAATCGATTGTGTGAAGCTCCTGGAAAAACATAATAACCGCCTCCCAGCTGTTTAATATACCGAAGCCGCTGAAATTGAGGTGTATCAATGATTTGGATGAGGAGAGGGTGGAACTCAATGTGACCATGGACAGGATCATTAATTACCTAGAAAATTATGTTTAAATTAATATGAGTAACAACATATAACTCCATCTAAAATGTTTGTGCAGCCATTCCTAACCACAAAGTCAAAGCTATTTAATTGTTCAAGTAAGACTACTGCTAAAGGAAACGACAAGATATTAATATCATTACCTTATTTAGGTATCATTACCAGACAGATCAAGTATATTGGATCTGGGTATATTTTACTTCTTCCTAATGGATTCTAATAACAGAAAGATAAGGGTTTCAATCTTTTTGTTACATATATGATTAGGCTTTATTATTTTTTAAAAAACATATTTATTCATTCTTCTCACTCATATCTATTTGACAATTCAGAATTACCCCCAATTCCATATCTAAATTTTAAAACAATAATAGCCAATGCTATTGAGAACCGTGAAATAAGATGCTGAAGTGACTTCCAAGTCATTAAAGATAACATTGTAAACATAACACAAGAATTGAAAAATCTACACAATTATTATTATTTAGAAATTGATATGATTTCATTAGACTTTAACTAGTTAGGCTTTTTTAGGCTGGGCGATGGGGCCAGTGCGGGGATCTGAACCCTTGACCTTGGTGTTAGAACACTACACTCTAATCCACTGAGCTAACCAGCAGCCAATGAGTTAGTCTTATATTCATTTAAATTTAAACACACTCATGCAGATCATATAGTCATGGGTACTGTATAGATCCATTTACTATAGGCACTGTTTCTAAATTTTTTTCTAAATGTATCTGTATAGTTCCCACGACTTATAAAGAAAGAAAGAGGGAGGGAGGGATGAATAAATGAAGTACAGAGGATTATCAGGGCAGTGAAACTATTCTGTACGATACTATAATGGTGAATACATGACATTACGCATTTGGTTTTTTTTTTTTTTTTTTTGCTGGCCAGTGCAGGGATCCCAACTCTTGACCTTGGTGTTATAACATCGTTCTCAAACCAACTGAGCTAACTGGCCAGCCCACATTATACATTTGGCAAAACCCATAAAACTGTACAACACATGGAGGAAACTCTAATGCAAAACTGAATTAATAATAATAAATCAATATTGGTTCATAACTGTAACAATGTACCACACTAATGTAAGATGTTAATAACAGGAGAAACTGTGTGGGGAGGGTGTGGGGGGCATGAGGACTATCTGTAATATCTGCTCCATTTCTCTATAAACCCAAAACTGCTATAAAAATAAAGGGGGAGAGAAAAAAAAAGAGATAGAGAGAAGTGACAGTGAGTGAAAGAGAAAGAAATCCCTCTAACCATAAAGATAAGACATCATATATAGGAAAAAAAAGTTCTATAGTATTTAATGTTGCTCAGAAATACTTAGAAAAGATAAATTTCACAATTATTCATTACTCTAAGCTTAAACATGAGCTTCAAATATGGAGATAAATATGAAGATTTAATATTCCTCTATGCACCTTTAAATAAAGAGAGCCTTTTAAAGAGAAGACTAGAGAATAAAAAAGGAATCTGATAAAGTGTCTAATACGGAGAATAAATGCAGGAAGAGAACCCCAATTCGTGGCTAATTTCCCAAATGGAAGGAATGCCTCTATCTTGAGTGTTCTGGGAGATTAACCCCTTTTTGGGGCTTCTCACTGCTCAGAAGAGATGGGTAATCTTTGGCAGCTCCGTCACCCAGGGGAAAAGGGGTGACAAATCCATGGGCAGCAAAGCAACAGCTGGTGATAAGGAATTAATTTCCTTTAAAAATAGTTGAATTGCGGGGCCGGCCGGTGGCGCACTGCTATAGTGCGCCGCTTGGGAAGTGCGGCGGCGCTCCCGCCAAGGGTTCGGATCCCACATACAGACCGGTTCCCACTCACTGGCTGAGCGAGGCGCGGGAGCGACGCCGAGGGTTGCGATCCCGTTGCCGGTCCCGGTCCGGTGCGGGGGCGACACTGAGGGTTGTGATCCGTTGCCGGACACGGAAAAAGACAAAAAGGAAAAAAAAAAAATAGTTGAATTGGGCCAAGCCCGTGGCGCACTCAGGAGAGTGCGGTGCTGGGAGCGCAGCAGCGCTCCCGCCGCGGGTTTGGATCCTATATGGGGATGGCCGGTCACCAGCTCACTGGCTGAGTGCGGTACGGCCGGTCTCAAAAAAAGACCAAAAAAATAAATAAATAAAAATAGTTGAATTCAATCTGGGTACTGACAGTTTGCGTCAAGTAGTGATTAGAATTTACAACTTTGTTAAACTATGTATTTATGTTAACAAAGAATAGATATATGGTTGATGTTTGGTGATTATTAATTTTTTTCATCCTGCTCTATAAAACTACTTTATGATTATTACAAACTATATTGAGGTTAGTCACCTAAAATAATACACCAGGAATGGTGTCAAAGTATCTCAGGAATAGAAGGAACCATGAATGTCATAATTCAATTCTGTGAATATCCTTATCAGAAAAGGAGAAGTTCTACAATTTTTAAATATTTAAAATTCATACACTGGTCTATTCCTTCCCCCTTACACAGGATCAGTGTAACCACCACAGACAAATGAGAACATGTTATTAAAGATTATCAAATAAAAATTCTATAATCTACTTTTAATCCATTTAAAGGCCTAAAAGCCTTTACTGTAAAATTTTCACGTTGTAATAACTGTTCTTAAAACATTTATTTCACCCTAAATATGCTAAAACAAACTTTAGCAACCTCATAAATTAAAAACTCAGTGAAAATTATTTTTAACTTAGTTAATGTCATAACACACACACATACTGTCTCCCTTTTCATGTCAAATGCATCATAAACCCTTTCTCATGTTTTTATAATCTTAATAATTACCATTTTAATGGCCCCATTTCATTAATTAATCAACATTTTTAAGCCATTCCTCTAATGTTGGGCATTGACTTGTTGGGAATTCTAGTTACATTATTTCATAATCTTGTCCCAGCTCTTAGTGTGCATAGGTGATATTAAATCCTATCATTCTTTAAAAACTACTGTTATTTTTGTTCTCAGTATTATTTAATACGAACTACTTCTTATACAGTCACGTGGTTTACTTGTCACTTTTAAAGGCTATATGATATGCATCCTATTGTGTTATTTGCACAGAAAGATGAAACAATCCTATTGTCTATTAAGCATTACTGTATATGCCAAGCACTGGGATGAGAGATGAGTGAGCCACCATTCCTGCTCTCTGGGAAAGACAGTAGAATCTATTTCTAGAGTATGGGGTAAAGAGAATGGAGAGAAAGAAATAAAAGGAGTGGACAGTTCTATCCAGAAGAAAGGGGAGAGAGAGCCATCAGAAAAGGATTCAGAAGTGGGGATTCTATAATCTAATGCATATAAGAGTACTTCAAAAAGTTCATGGAAAAATAGAATTAAAAGATAATATGAATCTTTTCATGAACTTCTTGAAGACACCTTGTATTAGGTAAGAGTAGTTACATAAAGCAGGCTTCTCACTCTGTTAAGGTTCATTAATACATTTGACAGATTAGTGCCTATGTGTTAAACACTGTACTTCCTCCTCCTGTTATACAAACCCGGCTTCAGAGGCTAACTGAACTAAATTTATCCTAAAGAAAACCATGCCAAGAATAAGAATGGTGACCTTGGGCTAGGCAATAGCTTCTTAGCTATGACACTAAAAGCACAAGAGACGAGAGAAAAAAACAGATAAACTGGATTACATCAAAATTAAGAATTTTTGTGCTCCAAAGATCACCTTCAAGGAAGTAAAAAGACAACCCATAAAATGGGAAAAAATATTTACATATATATCCAATAAAGACTTGTATCCAGAATATACAAAAAAAACCTCTCAAAACTCAAATTAGAGTGTGTGTGCTTAAGGTTGGCCTGTTAGCTCAGTTGGTTAGACTGCAGTGCTATAACACCAAAGTCAAGGGTTTGGATCCTTGTACTGGCCAGTCAAACACACACAAAAAGATTGTGGGTGATTAAACAACATTATGAACTTTCTAAAAAACACTGACTGTACACTTTATGTGAGTGAACCATAAAGTATGTGAATTATATCTCAATAAAGCCATTTTTTTTAAAAAAAGAATAAAAGGTGCACACCAAATTGGGGTAGGAATCCTTGAGAGCTGTATTTAAGTAGGGAGCTAGGTCAATTCTTTGTTCAACTGCACTGATGAAGCTAAAGTCATTTAACGTACTGATTTCGTTACTAGACAGTTACTCACTGACGAAAATACTTAGAAGCTTTAAAATTTATTATCAACAACTGTAATTTATAATTTGTAAATGAAAGACTGTCCAATTAGCTCAGTTGGTTAGAGTGCAGTGTTATAACACCAAGATCAAGGACTGGGATCCCTATACCAGCCAGCTACCCAAAACAAAACAAAACAAACAAAAATATATATAATTTATAAATGAGGTTAAACAATTTTCTGCTTTTAATGAAAAATAGAAAAAAAGAATAAAAATGAGCAATTGAAACCAATGATCGCCTTGAATATTACTTCAAAAATAACTTTTTGTTGCAACACGTTATTGTGAAAATGTGATTTCAGAGGTCACCTGAGATTATCTCTTCTAATGAAGAAAAGTCACCTTACCTATGCCCTATCTAAAGAGAACACCCTATGCTGCTGCTATTGAGGAAGTACAAAAAAGAACACAGGACAGCAACTTTCTTCTAACTGCAGGACAAGATACTTAGATACCATCTTTGACATGTGACTATGTTATTTACTTCTTCATGAAGATAATGAAGTTTTTCTTTTTATTTATTTATTTATTTTTCCTTTTTTGTCTTTTTTCGTGTCCGGCAACGGATCGCAACCCTCAGTGTCACGCCCGTACCAGACCGGGACCGGCAACGGGATCGCAAACCTCGGTGCTGCACCCGCACCTCGCTCAGCGAGTGAGCGGGAACCGGTCTGTATGTGGGATCCGAACCCTCGGCGGGAGCGCCACGATGCTCCTAAGCGGCGCACTGTAGCAGTGCGCCACCGGGCCGGCCCTTGAAGTTTTTCTTTTTAAAAGATGACCGGTGAGGGGATCTTAACCCTTGACTTGGTGTTGGCAGCACCACGCTCTCCCAAGTGAGCCAACCGGCCATCCCTATATAGGGATCCGAACCTGTAGCCTTGGTGTTATCAGCACCACACTCTCCCGAGTGAGCCACAGGCTGGCCGTGATAATGAAGTATTTTAATATCAGGTAACTTTTTCAGAAAGAGTTGGAATTTGATATTCTTTTTTTTTTTTTTTTTTTGACGCCTAGCTGATACAGGGATTAATCCCCGGACTTTGGTGTTATTAGCACCATGCTCTAACCAAATGAGCTAATCAACCAACCCCCTAAATTTTTTCTAACATGATTTTCAATGGAAAATAAATCTACTAACTTGCAAATGTAAAATAAAAATAAGTATCCTTTGTAGGGATCTGAAATAACTCAAATGCTATATTTTAAATACATTTAAAAAACACTGGTGAAAAATGCAAATGATGATGATGATCATGCAAAAAAATGAAAAGGAGAGTGAGATACCCTACACCTTCTTCCAGATCTGAAATTAAGTTTTCTTGACCTTGGGATGTCAAGAATGTGAACAATAAGGTACATTTCCTGTCATCAACCAACCATGAAACATTCCTTTAAGTATGTTATTAGAATCACTGAAGAGCTTGTGAAAAATGCACATTTCTGAAGCTCTACTCTAAATTTCCAGAATCTTTGTGGGGCAGGAAGGGGGTGGTACTGAGTAGCTGAATGCTTGCTGTTAAAATGACTCTTGGGACTGAAGTCTGAACAACAGGGCTTTTGACATCTGAAAGGGATTGGGGGAGAAAGAATAAACAATTATTGATAGATTCAACTTGAGAAATGTATCCACCTTCCGGATTAATATGGCATAAGAAAGTTTACCAAAACTGACAAAATTTAGTACAAATTTAAAAGTTACTCAATGACTGAATGTTACTAGGGCTATTTGTGTCGATGTAGATGATTATAAAAAATATTATTATAAATAAAAGTTTTAGGTTACTTACGGTGCAATGCCATTCAAATAAGTTTAAAAACATGTAAAACAATACTATATATTGTTTATGGATATACATAAATATGTAGTAAAAGTAAAAAAACATTCATAAAGATGATAAACACCAAATTCAGGATGATGCTGGGGAAGAAAGGATAGACAAAGAATGCAAGAGGGGTACAAACAGGCCTTCAATAGTTGCTAATATTCTATTCTAAAAATAATGGATTTGAAGCAAATTAGGCAAAATGTTAAGATTTGACAAGCTAGGTAGTGGACTATTCATGCTTTTGTGTATGCTTAACACATCTTAGTTTTCCTTCCGATTTAAATATATACTCTGTGCTCATTTAAATGACTGAGTTATATTACTTTACATTTAAAAAACATGATAACAAACTCAAACTCCTCTTACCTTCGGTGCATCGCTGTGAGTTTGACCCAGTTGTTGGATATCATTAAGCAGCTTCTTCCTCTCCCACAAGGAACTGAAATTATAAAAGGATAAACAAATCTATCATTATTTGCTTAACAATAATCACTGGAGTATATAATAGTATATAATCAACTCAAGGTTATCTACACTAAAAGAAAGAGAGGTTAGATTGGGATCAATCAATAATTCGAAAATACTCCTAGAAACTCTCACCTTCCTTTGCTCCTTCCTGCTGAATCCAATGGTTCTGACCTTAATCCTCTTCTCTCCTGGTAAACTCAGACTTCAACATCTCCTACGTCTCTACTGAAAGCTCAATTTATACTTCAAACTTACTTTAACCAAACTGAAGTCAACACCTACGCTCATAATCCTGGATTGACTTGAGCACCAGGTATGACTCAAGCATGAATCAAATATATATGAAGGTTGTCAGTAACCCCCATGCAGTTTTGAGAAAGACTATTTATTTTGGTTTTTGGCAGCTGGCTTGTAAGGGGATCCGAACCCTTGACCTTGGTGTTAATAGCATCAGTTCTAACCAAGTAAGCTAACCAGCCAGTCCTTGAGGAAAAATTTAACAGGAATTAAATTTGAACAGGTCAAACCCTGTATATCTCTTCATCTACAATTACTAATTTGTCCAGGCCTCACACTTGACTGAGTGTCAACAGAAATAGCAGGAAAGGGGTTAGCCTATACTAATCTAATAGCTAATTAGATTGAAAAAGAATCTTTTGTTAGAAGTCCTAGACAGATTTGGAGTCAGAAGCCCTATATTGGCCTGAGACTCATGGTAATAAAAAAATCTAAGAATGATTTTATTACAGCTGATAAATAACTAAGCAGCATACCTTGTATTTTACTATTTCCCTCTCCTCTGCTTCAGTTTCACATAACAAGCACAACACAAAGCGAGGTGTCAAGAAGTACTTACAGATGGCTATAATGACTTAGATTAAGGGTAACCACATAGTTGAGCATCACTAGGAGTCAGCACATAAAATACCATACCTAAACTAACCTCACTGCTGCCCAGTATTTCTCTGAACTGATACTCAGCATTCATCACAATTAAAACCCAAAAAGAAACTATTCATAAGGAAATCACTGGTTAAAGTATATAAAAATAACCACCAAAAATTTGAGTTTTTGTTTTGTTTTAGTACAGATTGTGGCATTAAATAAAGATTTAAAGTAGTCATGGGCCAGGATACTTAGCTATAAGATATTCTTTGTGTAGCCCAACATTTCTGAAATCTAATGCTTCCTACAACTGATATGTACATTTAATGTAAGAACGTTTCTTATTTCCTAGAAAAACCTTTAAAATCAATGGGTGATCATAAAATTAAAGGAATTTAAGAAGTGTTTGTCTAAACTGGATTTCCCCTAGAAAGCAGAGTCCAGGACAAGAGCTTGGATACAAGTAATTTACTTTGGGGCATTAACTCTGAGAATACGAGTGGGGACTAGGGAGGGTGAAAAAAAGAAATGAGAGAAAAACAGTACAAAGGTACATTAACAAGCTGGCTGCATTGGTATTACTGTGAGTGACTAGGGCTGATTCCACGGGCATCATCTGAGGCAGCACTGTACAGCAGAACTTCCTGTGATGGTGGGAATGTTCTACATCTGCTCTGTCTAGCACAGTAGCCACTAGCCATAAGTGGTCACTGAGCACTTGAAATATGGCTAGTGTACCTGAGGAATTAAATTTTTAACTTAAACTAATTTTAATTAATTAAAACACGTAGCTAGAGGTTACTGTACAGGACAACACAGCTCTACAGAGTCCTCCAGAATCCATCTCAAAGTTATGAGGTGGGCACAAGAGGTGTGCCAGAGAGTTCCTTCTGGAATTTTGCCTATTTTGTTCACTTATCTGTCCCAAGTTACTGGAAGAATGCCTACTACATAATGAGCCTTCATAAATATTTGTTGAATGAATCAATAGTATTTGAGTTCACTAAGAACTATATGGTTCCCTTAAAACAAATTCCATTTAGTTCAAATAGTAAGCAACTTTTATACACAAGAAATAGGTAGTAAGGGGGACTTTGAGAGGACTGAGGGGGCTGAAATGAAAGAGCCAAGATAAGGTCCTTGAAGATTCTGATCCAAAGGACATTTACTGAAAGTCACTTAAATATCCTAAATTGATCTGTTTCATAATGTTTCCATTGTCAGTTATTAAGCAATAGTACATGAAATAATTCAGTATAATCCTTTGTTTTGATTTATTGTTTACTGTTACCACGAATAACATTTAGCTAAGTGGGATTCCAAAAGAAAAGACCATATTTCACCACTGTTGCCAATTCCCTAACTGAAACAAAACCTCCACTTAAAGGAATATTTAAACATTGGATCTTCAACTGAGATATTTAAAGTGGCCTCATTGGAATACAGACTCTAGGACTTGTAGCTGTATAGGTGAGGGTACTTCAAACAGTTTGAAACTGGCTTGAACTGGTATGTATTGGTATGTTTTCTTTGTTCTAACCTACTTGAATGAGATATTTTACAGAGCTCATTCATCACTGCCTCATGTCTGCCACAGATGACCTTCCAATGAACCTTGTCCTGCTAAGGAAATGAAAAGTCTCTTATAAGCAGAACCAAAAGGAAATGACCAGGACCTATGGACCACAATTAGAAGTAAGGAATGCCCTAAATTGTTGCAACATGGGCTCAAAAGAGAAAGACTGAAATTTCCCCAATTCCATATTCCAAATATGGAATTCCCCCAATCGAATTTGCCAATCCCACAGTTTATGACATTTTATGATCCTACTGCTTGACTCCCAACTCTATAAAACTTTGCCTTGCTTTCTGGTCAGGGAGACAGATTCGAGTTCTGCCTCCTGTCTCCTTGCTCTCGGACCTGGCAATAAAGACTTTCTTTTCTCAAAAACCAGTGCCATACCATTGGATTCTATGTGCATCGGGCAGTGAGCCTTTGCTTGGTAATAAGTTCATAAAAAAATAGAATTAAAAGATAATACAAATCTTTACAGGAAATTTTTGCAGCACTCTCATGGGTGTGGGTGTGTGTTTGTGTATAAATTTATTGAGGGCTAGTCATATACTTTGACATATATTTACACATATTGTATGTAATACAACATACTTTATATACGTTGTCATTATTATTATCCATTTCACAGGTGCAGAAACTGAAAGGTTAAATAACTTGTCCCAAATCATACAACTAACAAGTGCCAAACTATTCTGCATAGCATCTTTTTTTTTTTTCCTTTTTGTCTTTTTTACTGACCGGTAACGGAATTGCAACCGTCGGTGTCGCGCCCGCAACCGCGCTCAGCCAGTGAGCGGGAACCGGTCTCCACATGGGATCCGAACCCTCGGCGGGAGTGCCTCTGCGCTCCCAATCATACAACTAACAAGTGCCAAACTATTCTGCATAGCATCTTTTTTTTTTTTCCTTTTTGTCTTTTTTACTGACCGGTAACGGAATTGCAACCGTCGGTGTCGCGCCCGCAACCGCGCTCAGCCAGTGAGCGGGAACCGGTCTCCACATGGGATCCGAACCCTCGGCGGGAGCGCCGCCGCACTCCCAAGCAGCACACTCTCCAGTGCGCCACCGGGCCGGCCCCTGCGTAGCATCTTTAAATCTAATACCAGGGATACAATCCAATCTTAAGATAGATTTAGGAAGACCAAGAAACATGTTCAAGATGGATTTGTAGCCTTGATTTTATTGACAACATTTTTTTCCTATCGTTTTTTGTATATTTTCTGGTGTGTACAAGGGTACTTTGAAAAGTTCATGGAAAGGTTCATATTATTTCTTAATTCAATTTTTCCAGGAATTTTTTGAAGCATCCTTGTATAATTCAATTATCTTGAACTTGAGAGTAAAAAGTTGTCATTACAAATTTCGTAAAATCTTGTCAGCAAAATTCTTTAAAACAGGAGTCACCAGTAATATTGAACACGGGAATTGCAAAGCAAAAACAAACAGTATGCAGGGGATTCTGTTTTAAAACACTTCATAGATTTAAAATGAGGACAGTTAGTATCAGAGCACTTGGGCTTTGTTCCTCAAAGGTGAAAAAAGTATGTTTAGTTACAATGTGAATTTTATCATTCCTACCTTACTCCAAGATTTTCAAGGTGAGACTCATCAAGATAGGGCAGTAATGAGCCTGTGATTTTCTCATCTATGAAGAAAGGGGGAAAAAGACAAATTCAATATTTACAACATATGCTTTTTAATTTCTTGCAATTTGAATCTACCAGAATTTACTTAGATCAACGTTTATTGAGCAGCCACTACTTGACTGTGCTAAGTACCACCTTTTTTTTTTTCCTTTTTGTCTTTTTTCGTGACCGGCAATGGATTGCAACCCTCAGTGTCGTGCCCGTACCGGACCGGGACTGGCAACGGGATCGCAACCCTCGGCGTTGCACCCGCACCTCGCTCAGCCAGTGAGCGGGAACCGGTCTGTATGTGGGATCCGAACCCTCGGCGGGAGCACCGCCGCGTTCCCAAGCGGCGCACTGTAGCAGTGCACCACCGGGCCGGCCTGTAAGTACCACCTTTTGATTTGCTACTTGTAAAGTCTTAATTTTAATTAGATAACTAAATCAAGAAGCATTTTTTGATAAATCAGGTGAAAATTCAAAAATTATTTGTGTAAATGACTCACAAGAAAGACCACCTGCAAAAAGTAAAGTGAAACCTAACTGTGGGATTTTGCCAGGTCAGCAGCTTCCTCTGAAACAGGTAGGGTTTGGGGTGGAAGTAGGGCAGGAAACTTACGTCTATTGTTCTTACAATCATCAGGTTAAAACCATAGCCTGAGGAGTGCCCAGAGTTTTGAAAAATCTCCTTGGAAAACACGCAATACTCTGTTTTGAAAAAAACAATATATATAGTTTTTTTTCCCCCCTTTTCTTGTTCTATACCGTTCTAGTCCTTCCTGACCTTAGGTTCCAGAAATCTGAATTATTTTCAAACAAACAAAACCCTTTCTGAAGGTAACAAGAGAAAACAAGGAAGTAGTTTTAAAAAAAATGTTTATATGAAAATGGTATATTTTGTATTTTTCTATCATGAAAAATAGTCATTCAATGTAAAAAAATTCCAAATAATATGTTAAGAAAAAAGAAGTATAAAATATCAACTCACTTAAATCCTCTTAATAGGTAAACACTGTTAACATTTTGGATAACACCATTCAAAACATATCTATGCAATTCTGTAATTTCATATAAATGAGATTATGTTGTCTTATAACCTATTTTTCACCACCCAACATGTCATAAACATCTTTCTTTTGTCAATTATTAAAGTATATACCATTTTCAATGGTTGTCTTGTATCCCACAATATAGATGTACCATAATATCTTCAACCAATTTTTCTTCTGGACCTTACTCTCCTCATCTCTAAAATGGGTATAACTGTACCTATGTCATAGAGTTGTAAAGATTTCACAAAATAAAACATGTAAAGTACACAGAACAGTATTTCACACAAAGTAAACACTCAAGTGTTAGCCATCACAATTATTTATTACTATTATTATTGATGCATACTTAAGTTTCTACTTTTTTTTTTTTGTCTTTTTCCGTGTCCGGAAACGGATCGCAACCCTCAGTGTCGCCCCCGTACTGGACCGGGACTGGCAACGGGATCACAGCCCTCGGCGTTGCTCCCGCGCCTTGCTCAGCCAGTGAGCGGGAACCGGTCTGTATGTGGGATCCGAACCTTCGGCGGGAGCGCCACCGCACTTCCCAAGCGGCGCACTTAAGCAGTGCGCCACCGGGCCAGCCCCTTAAGTTTCTACTTTTTTGCTAATTACAATCAATGGTTAGGAGAATCATCTTGAATATATATTTTTGGACACATATCTATAAATTCCTACACATGAAATTCCTATAAGTCAAGATGTATTGCTAAATTGTCTATTCTTGAGCCAACTGACACTTCCATCAACTTTATTAGATTACCGATTTCTCCTATTATCAATCTTTTATATATTTTCCAATATAAATCAAAAATTGGTATTTTTTAAGTTACTGTTAAGGCTGAACATCTTTTTCTGTGTTTATTGGCTGGCTGTCATTGGTCTGTTCTTGTGTTTTGCTTATTTTTCCACTGGGTTTTTTCCCCACTGTTCTTAATTGATTTTCTAGCATGGGTTATGTTCTCCAATAGTTTTTTATAACACTTGTTAAGATATAGCAGGTAGAGCTGGAATGAGTTCTGGAGTCCAAAAACCTAACTTTGAAAAATCCAGTTCTGCTTTTTTCTACCAGTGTGTCCTTTTGAAAGTTACTTAACGTCTTTGGGCTTCTCACACATCATCTGTAAAAGTGTGGATCATAGCATCTAATTTCAGGATTCTCTTGAGGCGTTTTGTTCCATAATATCGTGCTTTTTGTCAAATAAAAACACATCTGGACTTAAGAGACTTTAATCAGAAAGAAAGGTTATTGCAATAGAGAGAAAGCGCCAATCTCAGAAAATCTGCGAGTCGCTCAAAATCAAACAGGAAAGGGTTTTCTTTTAAAGGGGAAAGGAATGGCAAAGCAGAGATAAGCAGAATCTTTGGAAGGGAAGCTGTACAAGCAAGAGGAAACCAGCAGTCAAGTCTGAGAGGACACTGACCCGGTATGGTCAGCCAGGTCCCGGGAGAATCTGACTAAGGGGGCATATTACACTTTTTTAGTGCTTGTTCAGATATGGGGGGCAAGCAAGAGTTCAGGGGCTATAAGGAAAGAGAGAAGCCTAATTTAAGTTTTGTTAAGACAAAGCAGATGGTAAGACATCAGCAACTGGGAACACTTGGTCAGTTTTCACCAACTGAAAGCACATAGTGTCTTCCACTAGCACTAGACTGCAGGTTCAAGAGAACACAGATCATTCTGGAAGCTGATGAATTAATCTACAGAACACCACTGAAACTGCCAACAACATGGCCAATTACATTTTAGAGACAGAAAATGTAAAGTTACTTCACCCCACCTGTTGCTAATCAAAGAAAAAATTCCGTTGGGAAAGTGAAAAAGGGAAAGAAAAAAAAAAAAGAGAAGAGAAATACAATTTCCCACACGCATTCAAGCTATCTTTAGGTCCTGAACCACTGAAGTTCCTCAAATCCCAGTCTCCCACCTAGACAGACAGGGCTCCACCCCACAATTGCAAAAGTGTGCTGAATTTGCAAATCTCTACCACCAAAGAACGACTTTCCCACTGGCACACCTAAGAGGTTAAGAGGGGCGTTAAGCTCACACCCACCACAAGAAGCTTAGATTTTCAGCTTTTTGAAAGTGGATGATGCGAGTGATGGATGCTTGAATATGAACCAGTAAAGTCCTACAAAACTCTGGGCCGGCCCAGTGGCTCCCGCCAAGGGTTCGGATCCCACATACAGACCGGTTCCCGCTCACTGGCTGAGCAAGGGGCGGGCGCAGCACCAAGGGTTGCGATCCCGTTGCCGGTCCCGGTCCGGTACGTCCGTTGCCGGACATGAAAAAAAGACAAAAAACAAACAAACAAAAAACCTCTGAACCTACACACTTCCCCATGTGATGTGGCCAAGTTGTGCAATGCTGGGAATTCAGTGGTCAACTGAATAACTAAACAAGTGTTCAGATTTAGGAAGGGAAATCGCGTTTAAAAAGCGTTTTGATCGATCATTACCAAGCTTTGCAAATATAATCAACAAACACTTATTAAGCCCTACTAGGAGGGCTTAATTCAGAGAGTAGGTGGTGGGAATTCAGAGATTAACAAAACAAGGTTCCTCCCCTTTAGGAAAACCTCAAATTCAGGGGGGAAACAAAAGCGCCAGAACACACTTTCATGTGGCAAATGTTCAAGGAGCTGCGGTTAGCACAGAAGGGTCTTCCGAGCCTGGTGGGCCTGAATGACAGGAAGCATCGACCAAGGTCTAGGGAATACCTTCCTCTAACTAAAAAAAAAAGGGGGGGGGGCGGGAGGACCCGAGTCTCGACGCTGGGGTGTCAAGTTCCTGAAGAAACCCACCAGAGCAAGATCCAAATCTACACTTGTCCCTCCCAGGTTCACAATCCCCAGAGCCCGCTCCCTCCCTAGACATTCCTAACCCCAGACGCCCCCATCTCTCCTTCCTCCGTCTCGGAGTATCACTCCTGGACGCCACCGGACGCAGGTCCACGCTCCTGGGTGCCTCCCGCCAGGTTTCCCTTTCCCGCCTCGGCCCCTTCTCAGGAGGGCCCTCCGCCTCATGTCGCCCCTCGCACGGCGCCCCCCGCCGCTGGCCCACCCTTCGGGGTGCCTCCCGCGTCAGGTCTCCCTTCTTGGCTTTAGTTCTCTTGCGAAGTCCCCTCCCTCAGGGTGCCTCAGGCCTGGCTAGCCCCTGCCTCGGGTCGCCATCCCTCGCCCCTCAGCCCCCCAGCCCCGCTACCTCGGAAGTTTTTCAGCACTCCGGGCTCTTTGAAGCCACTGCGCTTTAGGAAGGAGCACACCTGCTCTGTGCCCCAGGTGCGGCGGTCGGGGTGGAGTTCCGGGCTCGCGGACCTGTCTGCCGCTGCGGAAGTGTTTGGTGGGGTTCTCGAGCTGCCATCGCACCGGGGCCGCTTAGACGGCAGCTCCGAGTCGTCTCTCTGCATGGCTCCACCCGGCGACCGGCACAGCACACCCAAGAACCTCGACGCCCGGCCCGCACGCAGGCGCACTAACAGCCCAGCTCGGACTGCGAGTCCGCTCAGCATTGCGGGCCTACTGGCCTCCCGCGCAGGCGCAGTGACAGTTCAGCCCTTGGGGCCAAGCGGCCCCGCGGCTCTAGCCCGCAGGCCCCCTGCGCAGGCGCAATTGCAGTCCAGTCGTCCTTAACCCCGCCCGGGCGTTTACGCGAAGGGCGGTATTAGGGGCGGTGCAAATAAGGCAGGGCGAGGCAAATGCACTCCCGCCGGGGACCAATGACAAGTCCGGCCACAGTTGGGAATAGGGGCCCTTCTGGTTAATTGATGGCGTCCATCTCCAAATGAGTACCCCAGGCCTCCCCTTGGCCAGGTTTCAGATGCTCCAAACTTAAAGGTCGTCAGGCCGCCAGCACCTTCCCAATGAAGAGAAAATGGGCAAGGGGCTGAACTGGAATACCCTGGAATGATTTCAAACCTGATGCAAGGTGTCTTCTGGCATTTCACAATTTCCACAGTATCACTGGGCAGCTACAGTGCCTGGAGATGCCTGTGTTCAGGTTTCCACACAGGAGCAGACTTCGAACTTCTTTCCAACTGGAGATAGTTCCCTGGAAAAAATAATCCACAACTCCTCTCTCCATCCCAACTCCCTTCCCGGAGGAAGGGAAGTGGCCAATCTGATTACTTAAAATTGACCTTCGGGGACTTTTACTACCTGGTGGTAACAGCGTGTGAAAATGGCAGCCATCATCCTCTTAGCCACTCTGGGGCAGGGCCCAAGTTCTCTGTAAATCCTGTTCCATGCAATTGACTGGTAAAAGGACTGCCACTACTTCTCCTAATAAAGCTAATATAACCTTCCCAGCAACTAAGCCATAGACCCATTTAGAGAATCAAGGATGAATGAGGCAGATTAGATTATCATCAAGCAGTATGAGCTATTGGTCTAATGGTTAGCTAAAATAGTCTTTGTAGACAAAGCTTTACTGTGTGCCAGGACTGTTCTAAGAGTTTTACAAGTATTAATTCATTTGATTATCACAATAACCTTAGGATTGTGGGGGGAAAATGAAGTAATTAAGGCTAAGGCTTTAAAGTGGAGTTGGGAGATTGGGAGAGGATTGCACTCACACCTGCTAAAGGTCAAACCACAGGATGTTCCAATAGACTTGGACAGCAAACTAAAGTCAGTATCTGCCAGCCTTCAACATCTCTCATTTGGAAGTATCCTAATTAACTAACTAATCAGAACAGGTTTGCAATTTAGGATTTATGCCCAGCCAATGAACTGCCTTCAAAAACAAACTTTTATGGAAATCCCCTATAAAAAACCTTTCCTGTGCTTGCATATCGGACACTATTTAGGGCTGTCCTGACTTGGTGTACCTGAATTGTAATTCTTTATTTCCCAAGTAAATGTTATTTCCTTTGACCTGTGTGTGTGTGTTTGTGTGTGTGTGTGTGTGTGTGTGTGTGTGGTTTGTTACAGGATATAGGAAACTGAGGTGAAAGAGAAAAGAATTTTCCCAAGGTCCCACAGCTAGGAAATGATGAATCCTGGATTCAAACCCAGGAAGTATACACTTGCTCCTAAGTCCATGTTCTTATAATTTGCCAACCATTGCTTGCTAATGGGTGGTATACTGACAAATTATTTTCTATTAGTTAACCCCAAATTTTCAATTGTTCCTGTGGGGGAAAGTATATAGAGATGTTCCATCTGCACAGAAGGCCAGGCCCAGAAAAATATGCCCTTAAAGCACCAGAATAGTTTGTGAAAAGACCTGACCTTTGCCAAGACATGTGAAACTGAAATCGGGGATTAATGGAGACAAGAAATAACATATGTTTGAAAGACGTATTTCAAGTAAGAAATGGCTGTTTTGAAAACTTGTGTTTATAAGACTTGTGGGTAAACCTGCAATGTTTCCTGGGTGATAAAAAGTTTTATAAGTAGAGTTTTTATTTTAAGTTTTATTTTATTTTATTTGTAATTTTTATTTTTGGACACAAAACACTTTTAAAAAGACTAAGATAATATAAAATATGTTCTCTGACCACCACAACAAAAGGAAATTTAGAAAATTCGCAAATGTGTGGAAATTAAACAACACTCTACTAAAGAAACAATAGGTAAAAAGAAAAATCACAGGGAAATTAGAGAGTACTTTGAGAAAAAAATCAAAGTGCAACATACCAAAATTTATAGGATGCAGGGCTCATGCAGTGCTTAGAGGAAAATTTACATTTGTAAAATTTATACTGAAACTTAAAAATAAGAAAAATCTCCAATCAGTAATGTAAACTTATACCTTGAGTAAACAGAAAAAGAAGAGCAAACTAAATGAAAAGCAAATATAAGTAGGAAATAACAAAGATTACATCAGAAATATATAAAATAGGGAATTAAAAAACAATAGAGAAATCAACAAAACTAAAACCTTCATTTAGACTGACCCAGAAAAAAAGAGAAGACCAAAATTATTAAAATCAGAAATAAAGTCAAAGGGAAAAAAAAAAAGAAAGAAAAAGAAAAAAGAAATAAGGCAGGGGCATTATTACATTGTCATTATGGTTTTTTCTGGTGATAAGATTTAGTTTCTTTCTCATTCTTGTTTGCATTTTTGTTCTACCAGTGGGTTTTGTTCTTTCTTGTGTATTTAAGGTAGTGATTATGGTTTTTCAGATTCTATGTGCAAGACTTCCTTGAGGATTTCTTGTAGGGCTGGTTGTGTTTTTTTCTTTTCTTGGCTGGCAGTTTTTTCTTTTAGTATTTTGAATATATCATCCCACTTTCTTCTGGCTTGTAGAGTTTCTGTTGAGAAGACTACAGTTAGCCTGACAGGGGCTCCCTTAGGATTCTCAATTTGTCTCTGAGCTTTGCCAGTTTGACTATAATGTGTCTTGGAGAGGATCTTTTTGGGTTGAATCTGTTTGGGGATTTTTGAGCTTCCTGGATCTGAAGGTCTGTGTCTCTCCCGGTACCTGGGAAGGTTTCTATTATTATTTTGTTGAATAGGTTTTCCATGCCCTTTCCTCTCTCCTCTCCTTCTGGAACACACATGCTTGGAATGTTTGTGTGCTTGAGGTTCCTGCTAGTTCTCTTAGATTTTCTTCATTTTTTAAAATTCTTTTTTCCTTTTTTTTTTGTCTGCCTGGGTTATTTTGAAAAGACTGTGATCAAGATCAGAAATTCTACTGTCTGCTTGTTATAGCCTGTTGCTTAAGCTCTTGGCTGTGTTTCTTATTTCATTGAGTTAAACTTTCAGTTCCACGAATTCTGCTACATTCTTTTTTAAGGTATTCATCTCTTTGTAAATTTCCTCCTTCATATCCTGGATTTTTTTTTCTTGTTTTATTATGTTTTCTAACTGAGTCTTCTGTATCTCAGTAAATTTCCTTATGATTGTTACCTGGAATTCCTTTTCAGTCACTTTAAGGGTTTCCTGCTCTATAAGTTCTGGTATTTAAGAATTACTGTATTCTTTCAGTGGTGTTACATTTTCTTGGGTTTTCATATTTCTATCTCTATGTTGATGTCTTGTCATCTAGTAGAGCAGTTGCTTCTTCTATTACTCTGGAGTGGAGTTTGAAGAGAGAGACATCATCTTTTTTTTCCAGTCTCCACTGGTGACTCTCCTTGTGTCAATGCAGTTGAGTACCTGGCAGACCACCTGCATGGTGGCTGTGGCTACTGTTGTGGAGTTGAGCCACTTCTGTGGCAGCCATGGCTGTGGCAGTGACTGTGGTAGGCCACTCGCATGGAAGTGGTGTTTATGGCATGCTCTCTTGCCTGATTCTGGGTGGAGGGGGCTGGCCTCAGCTCCTTCATAAGAAGAGTTTTTAGTTTAACCAATTGGGTTTGTTCAAAGCAAATCCTTTTGAAAGCTTCTATTTTCTGTTTATTTGTATTTGTTATAAAATGTAATTTAGGGCTTTCTGGTTAGCTCAGTCAGTTAGAGTGTGGTTTAATAACACCAAGGAGGGTTTGGATCCCATTACCAGCCAGCTATAAAAAAAAAAAAAAAAAAAAAAAAAGTTTAACTTAGGGGTTGGCTGATTCACTCACATGGCAGAGTGTGGTGCTGATACTACCAGGGTTGAGGGCTTGGATCCCCATACCATCCAGCTGCCAAAAAAAAGAGGGTAATTTAATGCCATATTTATTATTTTCCTCCCAATCCCATACTTTCTAGGGGCCCCTGATCTTGCACAAGGTGGCTGGTTACTTGCTCAAGGTTACATGACTGGTAAGTGACAGAATAAGGATTCAAAGGCAGTGCTGACTCCAAAGCTTAGGCCCTTTTCAGTTTGCCATTTCATATAACTCCACTTACAGTCCTGGTGATCCTGTTCCATCCAGTCATTCCACAGCCTAGGAACCAACCCCTATTAGAGACAGGCTCTGGGCTCTGGCACAGTGAGAGAAATGACTGCTCAAGCTCCCTTCTTCTGAAGTCAATCTCACCATGGTTAGGACTAGAAAAAACTGTAAGATCAACTAATTTAAGGCCCACCACCCAATGACCTTGAATACCCCAGCAATTTTTCCCTGAACTTTCTCCAGACACCTTCCACTCAGCCAGCCAAACCAAGCAATTTTATTTCTCTCAGCTTTAGTCTTGTGGTACTTACATCTTCCTCTTCAAACACTGCTGCTGGTTCTCAATGCCAGCTAGTACCACTTTCTGTTTCTTTGTTTTACTTCCTCCTCATTCTTCATAGAACCTTGCCTCCCCAAGACATTTTTTTTGTCTGCCCAAATCCCAAAGCCAAGTCAAAATTCAAAAACAAACAAAAAAAACAACTGTTGATTTCCTTGACTGATAAAAATAATACTCAAGAAAGAAAACTTGGAAAACAAAATGTCTATATACACAATTACAGAGCCAAAGATCACCTCCTAGTGTGTTCCCTATCAGTCTTTTTCTCTACGTAGATGTAGAAACTTATCCCCAGGTCTGAGAATCATTTGAAAAAAAGGAGACCCTGAAAATTAATAGCTA